ATTTAAAATTAATCGTCCAAGATCACCAGTATCAAAACGTATTAATTGATTTCGTTTTCGAATTAAATTTGTAACAATTATTTTTGAATTTATTATTTCAATATGAACTAATTCTTTTGGATAAAGATATATTTTAGTTGATGAATATTTTGGTGATTGACAAGCAAATACACCAGCTTCAGCTGAACCATAAAAACCAATATAAATTGAACAATGAAATATATGTTTAAAATAATTTTGTTTGATTTCATCAAGTGATTCACATGCAAAATAGATTTTTTCAAAATTGATTTCTTTTTTTTCTTGTTTTTCAATAAAAAATGCTAATTGCATTAAACGATATGGTGAACCCATAAGAATATTTGGTTTAAAATATTCAATTATATTTAAAATATCTTCATCATTTGTATTTGCACTCATTGGTAATGTTGTACAATTAGCTATTGAACAAAAATCATTAAAAATTTCAAATGATCGATAAATATAATTTGATTGAAATAAATTAAGACAAATATCATTATGAGATATAATATTTTGTTTAAGCATCATATCAACTAATATTTTTCGTTGTAATAAATTTTGTTTAATATCTGTTATAAAATATAAATGTTTTCCTCCACTACCACCAGATGCTGATATATAAGCACTTTGATTCCATTGATTATCAATAGATTTTAATTCAATTAATTGTTCATGTACTTTTTCTTTTGTTAAAATACTTCCATCATTCATAGAATGTATATATTCTCGATGTACATAAGGACGAATAAAATAACCTCTATTAGATATATTAACAATTTTATTTGGAGACAGTCGAATTATTCCAATATTAAAACATTGATCATTAAAACATAATAACAAACCAGATAAATTCATTGATTTATATTGTACACATGAAATATATTGTTGAATAATCCATTGTTCATGATTTGAATCTAATAATTGATAAATCCATTCATCTAATGTTACATCAGCACCTAAATAAAATAATTTTCAAATTTTAATAGAAAAAATAAATTTAATTTAACAAATATCCATACCCATAGTAATATTTTCTCCTTTGCCAGCTGTATTTGGTTTAATACACCAATCTTGTTTATTATTAATAATAGAATTTTTTAAATAATTTGGTATTTTATTAATAACATAGGTTATTGGTATGAATTGTATAAATGTATCTGGTGAATTATTTAATAAAGCATAAAGAAATTGTTGATTCGATAAAAGTGAAAATAAACGTTTATCATGTAAAATAAATATTGTTCGAAGATCATTTATATAATTTAATTGATTATTTTTAATAAATAATTCAAGTATTTCATCAGATAATTGTAAAATTTCATCTTGATGTAATTCAAATATAAATTGTTCAATAGAATAATTTGTATTATTATCAAATAATTTTTTATTTTCAATTTTTAATTGTTTTGGATTAATAAATAAACATGGTTGAGAATATTTTTTTGTCCAATATTGTTGAAATAAATGAATATCATAACCATGTTCTTTAGATTTAAGAATAAACATTGGTTTTGTTGTATCAAATTTTGACAATTTTATTATTGTTTCAATTAAATTAGAATATTTTTGTGATAATCTATTTTGATCATCGGTTGAACATAAACTAGCAGATAAAAAATATCCATTAAATGGAAATCGTGCATTAATTTCACAAATTTTTGGTTGAAATGAATAAATTCCATTTATTTTAAATAAATTCCCATGACCAAAAACAATATCTGGACGATAAGTTCCAATTTGAAAATCTGGTCGATAAATATTTAATTGTGTTAAAATATAATGAATTTTTGAATTAAATTGAAAAGTTTGTCGAATTTCTTCACCTAAATATGTTGGTTGATTATATTGTTTAACAATTAAATTTAGTATTTTATATAAATATTCATGTTGATTATCAAAATAATCATAAAAATCATTTGAAAATGTTAAATATTCTCGAAGTAATTTTGTTTGATCATAAATAGAAAAAATATTATATGGTAATGATCGATTAAATCTTATTCGAAGTAAATGACGACGATTATCAAGAATTTTTGTTCTAGCATGAAGATATTTTTGATTATTTAATATAATCATTGTATATTTATTTAATTTTGGTCGATATTTTTCAATTTTATTAATTATTGAATTAAGTTCATTTAATTCTTCATTATTTTCCGTAGATAATATATCGTATCTATAACGAATTTTATCATGATCTATTAAAATTGTTGCATCTATATGATCAATATTTGATGATTTTCGAAATTCTTCTGGTATATCTATTCGTATTTTATTTTTAAGTAATTTTTCTTTTGTTTCTAATGATAAATTTTGTAAAATGTCTGATAATCGAATTATTTCTAATTGTCCACCACCAAGTTGATCTTGTTCTAAAACAAATAATGCCATATATTCAGCTGGATTTAATTCATATGAACCATCAGTATGAAATAAAAATTCATCATTTGTTTGTGAACGAGCTAATGATTTTTGTTTTGTATCGACAGATGTTTGTATTGGTTGAACATGCCAAACAATAGAATTTTTTTCTTCATTATGATCTAAACATTGACCACCGAGTTTTTCAATAATTTCAATAAAAAAATTTTCCATATTTTTTATAATATGATGATCATTTGGCAAATGTTCACTTGAAAATTGTATACGAACATAACCATCATCTTCAAGTTTTTTTTCTATTTCTCGTATTTTATTGGGATCAAAATCAAGATCATTTGAATCGAAATTCATTATCTATAAAAAAACAAAAAAAAAGAAAAAACGAATTGTAAGTGTTGAATTGAATCAACATTTTATTTCGTATGCTTTTATAATGACCTGCATAAAAGTGTTCGAACATAACATATGTTTTTACCTATTGTTACAAACAAATACAACAGGTATTTTCATATGAAAATCCAACATATTTATATCATATTGTGTTTACATAAAAATCCATAAATAAATATTCTATTTTTTGATGATGCTACTATTTTAGTTACAGTTCGATAATAATAACTGCATATGGACTTTTTGTTATACTGAATAACTCTTGTCAAGTCGAAAAATCATTGAAGGAAAGAAAAAGAAAAACACGTGAATATTATTTATAGGCTGTTGACAACCTCAGAAATAATTTCTATGTTGATAACCAATAAGGAACCATATATTACAAAAATATTTTATCAAGTAGAAGCTTTCATTTTTTTCATTGATCTAAATAATATCATACAATCTACTAAAGGATAAATTAATCGGAAAAGAATACTCTTATAACTCACAATATATCTAATGACAGCTATGGTCTATTGCAATAGAAATTTATTTTCATTTATTCTTATTCCTATATAGACACTCTTTTAAAAATGGAAAAAAAACAACTGAAACTATTTTTTAATAACTTAATTGGACAGTAGATTATTTATGAGTTGTTTATCATTAAAAAAGATGTCTTATAACAATTGAGGATAAATTGTTAATGATATATTTCAAAGTTTTTCTTGATGTAGAAGACTAAAATTTTTATCACATATATATATCAAACCAAGATCTTCAATTTTTCGAACTTTCAGTTTTCTAGCTTAAACTAATACTAAAATACATGATCAACAATGATATACATGACATTTTTTGTATCTGATTTTTTATAACATGTTTATTTTTTTGAATCGTGATTTTTACAAACACTCAATGAAAAGAATTTGTAGAAGACAATTTTTTTTTTTGCAAATATGTGAATTATAATAAAATTCAATGTGTATAAACATGCCGTTCATTGCATAACATTTTTGCATATTTGTCTTTTGAAAAAAAAACAATTTTCCATGAGCATTTTCTTCCAGTACACGTCGTAAATTTTCAATTCTTTCTAGATACACATAATCAAATTGAGCATCGCTATTTACTGATTGTATATGTTTATAAAATAATTGTGCTACGAACTATGCAACACCAATAGCTCATGTGTTTTTTTTTGAGACATTTTAAATTCAATACAAAACATTAAAAAAAAAAATTTTCTCTATTCGTAATTGACGAAGATTTATGATAAAATTTATCATTAAATCTAAAACATTCTACTAGAAATGGAACCGGTTTGAGTTTCTTATGATTAGTATCGGTTTCATCCCTAGATTGTAGATATCAAGATGCTCTTGTATGGATAGAAAAACTTAA